ACGTGTGATGCCTATTGGCCTCACTACACTGACAAACAGGGATGCTTCAAAAACGATGACTAAACAGGTCAAGATCAATTTGCGTGTGAAAAAGAGTAGGCCACTGATTAAAAAAAAAAAAAAAAAAGTAATAATAAAATAAAAAAACACAGACTTGTTGGTTTGCAATTGTGCCACAATCATCGTTTTGGACTTCCAAGACAGAAAAATAAAGATTGTCTTAATGTTTTTTGAAACACAAAAAACAGGGAATACAGATGTTATTTAGCTTGTAGCCAATAATGGTGTGGCTGAATGCCATACACTGTCCCTGTTAAATAAAAAACAAAGACATGGTTTCAATATTTTCCAGCCAGCAGTTACATCTGAACTTCAAGTTTTTGACATTTTCACATGCGAGTTCCAAATGAAATATGGTAGCACAAGATGAAATAGAATGTTAATAACGCTTTTTAAAAAAACCTTTATATAACTTTTTAGAGAGTGAAAATGCATTTTAAATGTGTAAGAAGTTTCAGACAATTAGCAAAAAAATGTGGATGCACATGCGTATAAAGTTAACGTTAAACAGAAGTTGCGATAAAACGTAATAAAATGAAATATAACAAATAAAATGGGCTAGCAAAATTCAGAAAAAGTATGTCTTTGTTATGTAGTGCGTTTCAGATGTGTTAATGCTCTGCAGCAACGGTCTGCATGCCTCGAGTTCACTCATAGATGTTGCATTTAGCATTCATTAACCATTCAGGAACCATTTTAGAGCATATTGAATTAAACTAAATTCAATTCTAAAATGAGTTAGCCTACTTGTGATTGCTTGTACTAGGCTACTGCTATTCTTATTCTGAACAAGTTCAATTTAAAACATGTTTAACATAAATGAACTATTTATTTAATAGAGCTAGACTACAAAGCAGCACTCTATTAAATATAGCCTAATCATATTACACAGGTTTTGCTACTGTTGGGAACATACAAAAATCTAGCCAGGCAAAACACTTGACAGCCCGGATAAATACAGTAAGGACTAAGGAGCAGCAAATGCTGCATGTCAAACACACACTTTAACCAGTAGGTGGCAGCAGAGGGGCCTTTATTCGACCATTTCCACTTTCTAAATAGGCTTTAAGTAGAAAATGACTGACCCATGGAATAATTTGGATTGAATTCACTCTTTTATATATATGTCTATATATATATATATATATATATATATATATATATATATATATACACGTCTGAAAGGCCTTCTCAATATAAGTGCTTCAACATCTACGATGTCATCCAAAAATGGGCATGCCATTGTAAAGGACGAAACGTGTTTAGAGCTAAGCCTACTTATTGCCTGACTTGATTGACAAAACTTTTGCTTCTTTATCAGCCATTTTCTGTTTGTGAAACAGCCCTCTGCACTCAAAACAGTTGTGTAAACTTTACCTGGAGCTATAAGTAAGACACTGCTTTGGTTATAGCCTGAAATTTATATTAACTCTTATTCCTCAAATCTAATGGGAATATTGCTCCATGATCAAAAAGTTGATTCTGGGGCATTTTAACGTTACTTGATGAAATCTTGTTCACTCATTCTCCACACACGTTAAAATAACACAAAGCGAGCGTACTACATTACTACTTCTGATCCTCCCTGATCGGTTAACGTTAACTGTAAACATTTAGACACTCATTTGAAATGTAATGTGTGAATTGCCTTTTGAAATAGTAGTACTTTGAAGTTAAGTTGTGCACATGTAACTTTATATAGTTCACAACAACATATATCAGTCAGTTTCCTGTATATAAAACAGTTTAAAACAATTAATTCTTCAGTAGGTCAAATATCATTACTTTGTCCATCTGATCAAACTATGTGTATTAGCCTAATATTTTCAAAAACAAATCTTTGGCTGAGTGAAGAGTGAATCCCAACTGAACATCTGGATGTTTTAATCCTTATAGTGCAGATAACTCCACTGTCTATAACGTTTATTTAAATAAACAAATACATAAAAATTAGTTAAAGTCTAGACGGTTATCAATGTGTTTGTTTCCAACGTCGTTTTACGTTATTTCGCCATTTATCCTTCTCCCCCAACTGTGGACGCACCAGGAACAACAGGGGCTTAAAACTGTCAGGGGCGTAAAACTGCCGGTGGTCTGTCGATTTGTCCTACCTTGTCAGATTTTCCTACCGTAGCGCAAAATTATAGCCATATCTATCGGTTCATCCTACCTCGTCTGTTGATTCTGGGGCATTTTAACGTTACTTGATGAAATCTTGTTCACTCATTCTCCACACACGTTAAAATAACACAAAGCGAGCGTACTACATTACTACTTCTGATCCTCCCTGATCGGTTAACGTTAACTGTAAACATTTAGACACTCATTTGAAATGTAATGTGTGAATTGCCTTTTGAAATAGTAGTACTTTGAAGTTAAGTTGTGTCATATTGAACAGGTGATTTTTGTTGAATGAACAAATGATCTAAGTTTTATGTATATTGTATCCAAGCAAGAAAAGAAAAGGGTTAGAGTTTTTAAAATGTGCATTTTGATCATTGGTTGTGAGTTTTGTGTCTAGAGTTTTGAAAAATGACGTCAAGGTTTTGAAAATAGTAACAAAGAGATTGTAAAAAACTGTAATAAAGTCTCTATTATTTCGAGAGACAATAAAAGTTGGCTACTTAATGGTCAGGTTGATGTTCTGTCTGGCTCAAACTTAGCAAACTTAACCACATATAGGTTTAAAAGCTGTCCTAGTCTTCTCTTTACCTGCTCTGTCTCACTCACTTTTAAAATTCATTTAATTTGTATTTTTATCTTGTCTGTCTTTACCATGCGTAACATGGCATCTACTGGTAAGACTCAGTTTACTCCTTGCATTTAAACATAGCCTACTCCATGTGGATTCTGGAGCAACATTACAGTGGATATTGGAAATGTGTTAATTACAGTTTATGATGTGTACACAAACACATTTATAATAGGCATGTATGTATGTATGTATTTGAATGAAAATCTCTCTAAGTAAAGATTCAAACTGCACACTCACTCTAATATTTTGTCTTATAAGTATACAAACATAATGCATTATAAAGCCCACATTAAAAACTTTGGTACCATATGGTTTAAATGTAGTACATTTTGGTTTAAGTTGTTTTTTTTAAATAAATGAGACGATCTAATTTTCTAATGTATATCATACAGTTTTCTTAAAATAGCTTACTGATATGGACTAAAATGTATGTGCACTTAATGTGTTTTATCATACTGTCTTTAGTTCTTTTTAACTTGTATCTCATTAAGGTGTGTGTCTGCTTTAGCTACTTTATAAAAGTTTAGAGACAGAGATTTTAATTTTCTTAACACCAATCTTTTGAACCCCCCAAAAAAAGTTCGACCATGACATTGTGCCATTATTTTATAACCATTGTTTCTAACACTATTCAACTTTAGCTTCTTTTGTAAATAAATAACCTTTTTTGTGAACAAAAATATTGTCTCTTTCTTTTAAATGGCCCTTGGAATTTTAGAAAAGGGTTAAATTGTGTTTGTCTTTATTAAATGTTATGTAGGACACTGTTCTAGCTGTATGATGACCAATTGTAAATATTTCAGCAGATATTTCATTAAGGAAACATATGATTAAGTACTGCATATCTCAAGGCTAAATATGGTACATAAATGTAACTTTATATAGTTCACAACAACATATATCAGTCAGTTTCCTGTATATAAAACAGTTTAAAACAATTAATTCTTCAGTAGGTCAAATATCATTACTTTGTCCATCTGATCAAACTATGTGTATTAGCCTAATATTTTCAAAAACAAATCTTTGGCTGAGTGAAGAGTGAATCCCAACTGAACATCTGGATGTTTTAATCCTTATAGTGCAGATAACTCCACTGTCTATAACGTTTATTTAAATAAACAAATACATAAAAATTAGTTAAAGTCTAGACGGTTATCAATGTGTTTGTTTCCAACGTCGTTTTACGTTATTTCGCCATTTATCCTTCTCCCCCAACTGTGGACGCACCAGGAACAACAGGGGCTTAAAACTGTCAGGGGCGTAAAACTGCCGGTGGTCTGTCGATTTGTCCTACCTTGTCAGATATTCCTACCGTAGCGCAAAATTATAGCCATATCTATCGGTTCATCCTACCTCGTCGTAAAATCCTACTGAGCGTTTCTGTAGTAAATAAACGAGTAGTATGATTTTACAGTGCAAAATGCCTCATCAGATTGTCCTACCAGTATGAAATAAACGAGTAGAATGATTTTACGTTAATGTTTTTGTGAAAAAAATGCTAATATGAATTTGCTTTGTATGAATGTGAGAGTAAACAGTTCTCATTACTGCTATATAGCTTTGTATAGTAATAATTGACAAAAATAGTGAAAAACTTACCTCAGATGAATAAGATCTCGCGCAAGTAGTAAAATATTATGGGCGTGTTGTTCAGCGTGACAAAAAATGACGTATTATTGATGTGCGCATGCGCAGTAAGCCTTGGTAGGACAATCTGACGGGTAGGATGGAATGTCAGAACAGGGGCTAACGTTTTTTATTCAAGATTATGAGTGTACACGAATTTATAATAAAAATAGTGAATTGCCCGGATGAATTATTTATAATAAATACTACAGTATCCCATAATAAAAATAAGAATTTCATAGTGATTGTAATATTGTAATTTAAAACATGTCCACGTGGTTGGATTGAACAACAAAAGTGTGTAACGTTAGTCGTGTAACCTAGACCAGCATAATATTCTCATTAGAAGAAACCTTACTCAACAGTGTGACAGATCTAAGGTTAATTTATTTTTAAAATGTTCGTTTATCGCATATAATCTACATCGGTTAAATGTAACTTACTCGACAGGAAAGATAACAAACTGCTGTGGTTTAACATTTAACGTTACATTTTAAAAACCTATATAACGTTAGTGAGATAAACCCTTAACAAATAAATCAGATGAGACGTATACTACCTTTAAAAAACGCTTGATTTGGGTGTATCTGGGATGATGTGTGAGAAGCACGGGTTCTTCTTCAATAAGGAGGATCGGATGATGAAACACACGTGCTAAATTTCTGCATGTACAGGTTACTTCCGGATTCTGGACCGGCTGCAGCAGAGAGCCATATATGACTGTCGCTACTCGATCCGTACCGGAAACACGATCTGTACTGCGCATGTGCGAGAACGCGTCTCCTTCCTGTGAGAACTCCCACTCACATTAAACTTCCGGGGGCTCGAGGCCAAGATGGCGCTCTGACTAAACGTGCTTTGAAGAGCTCCGCAAACTCAGACTAATAATTCGATTTGTAGTGCGGTAAGAAAGACTGCCTATTTTTATTTTGGTACACACGATACCTTTTCTACGAAATTAATAATCGAAAATGGGAAAGTCTGAAAAAAGAAAGAACAAGACCGTGAGTCAAGCCAAAGCTAATCCTACTAAAGTTACCTCGGCAGAACAGCAAGTTTCAAACAAACTTTTGAGTGACAATTTGCATGATTACCTCGAGTCGGAAATGGATAGTGCTGATATTATGCCTGCTGAAGTAGTTTTCTCTACTCTCCCCGAAACACCATGCAAGTCTCCTGTCATAAAACAGCGGAAGATTGAGAGCATTGATGCCGCTAATGATGTCCTCTCGCAGCTCAAAGAACTCACAGTGCTAATTAATAATCGTTCTGATGCCCTGGAGCGAATGGTGGCGGAGAATGCACGAGCAATCGCGAGTATGAAAGAGACCGTTAACGAAAACACTAAACAGATAGCCGACGTGAAGACAGCTGTTGAGTTTGTGTGTGCCGAAGTTAATGATGTTAAAAGCCAACTCGGTATAACGGAGACACGGGTGAAGAAGGTTGAGGCGAAATCATCTGAGCATGAACAACGTCTATCTCATCTCGAAGGATACACACGTCGTTGGAATCTGAGAATCTACGGGATCCCTGAAAAGGAGAGGGAGGATGTTCGAGATAGGGTTATCCAGGTCTGTGAGCAGCTTTTACCAGAAGCAAAGGACAAACTTCAATACACCGTTGACACTGTTCACCGACTTGGCCGGAAACAAGGGAGCAACGACAAACCTAGAGGGATCATCTTTCAGTTCACCTCGCGCTTCTACCGTGATGCCATTTGGCGGGCTGCGAAAGACTCTCAATTTCTCAGGAACAACAACTTAAAATTGTCTGAAGATCTGTCCCCGACAGATAGAGAGAAGAGAAACAAACTGTGGCCTCTCGTGGACAAGGCACGGCGGGACAACAAGCGGGCATACTTTGTAGGAGGAAGGGCTTTTGTGGAAGGAACCGAAATTTTTCCACCAACCTGACTGAGTCTTTTGCTACTTTTGATTATTTACTTGCTTACTCTAGTAAATCTGCACCTTTCCGATTCAGGACCAGATGAACCAGAGTATATATCCACGCGAAGCATCTAACGTTGTGCCCTCGAGTCAGGTATTTTGTTCTTTTTAGGGTTTAATCGTTTATAATTTTAACGTTGCACTTTTTTAAAAGTGTCACTGAGTTTAAATTAGTAGCTCATAATTTGCCGAACAAAACGGTACTTTATTGCTATTTGTTTATTTTACACGTTTGTTACGTGTTTATTTTACACGTTTGTTACGGGTTCTTAAACAACATTACTTATGTTTAAAAGTCTATAATCTGAACATTCATTTTGTTTTTTGTACTGCACTACATCAATATTTTGTCTTTAGGCTACTCTAGTTTGCTGTGCTCATTTTATGCACATATTTCTCTAGTCTCAACGAGTTCATTGTATTAGCTTTTATCAAGATAAATCTTTTTTTCTTTCTTTTTTTCTCCTTTTATGGTTCTTTCTATTCACTCACTTAATGTTCGAGGGCTAAGAAACCTTACTAAACGTAAAGCTATATTTTTATATCTTAAACAGTTTAATTCTGATTTCTATTTTTTACAAGAGTGCCACTCAGTCAAAGAAGACTTTAATTTCTGGAGATCACAATGGGGGTTGGACATGTGGATGTCCCATGGAACATCAAGTTCAGCTGGAGTTTGCATCTTACTTCATCGTTTTAAGGGGAAAATTCTGTTTTCTGATTGTGATCCAAATGGTCGGTATATTTGCCTCCTACTTGAAATTTCAAATATGATGTTTATTGTTACCAATCTTTATGGTCCTAATCAGCAAAAAGAAAATGAAGATTTCTTTTATCAAATGGAAGAACGCATACTTTCATTGTTAAATAAATACCCCAACTCCTACTTGCTTTTCGGAGGAGATTTCAATGTGGTTATAGACAATAATATTGACAGATGGCCCCCAAAATCTAATAGTTCTAATTCATATTTAAAAATGTTCATGCAAAGGTTTTCTTTAGTTGATAGCTGGAGGGAAACTCACCCATCTTTAAAGGTATTTACTTGGAATAATAAATCCTTCTCGTCCCAATCTCGCATTGACATATGGCTTGCTCCTAAAGAGCTGCATAATATTTCAACTGATATTATACCTTCACCATTATCGGATCATAAATGTGTTTCTATTCGCATCGCTCTCTCAACTAATGTGAACTCCCATAGGTCTCCCTCATATTGGAAGCTTAATAACTCAATTCTTGCCTATGATGAAGTTAAAAATAAAATTGATGACATTATTACAAATTTTTGGAACAAAGCAAAGGAAGAAAATAATTACTGCAGTAATTGGGAATTAGTTAAATATGAAGTCTGTAAATATTTTCGAAAATTCAGTAGTGATTTGGCTAAAAAGAGGAAGTCTAATGAGAGTAATGTTATTTGTAAAATTGCTAATCTTTTGGCTAAAAATGTGGAAGATATTACTGATCTTGAAAAAGCTGAACTCGCTGAGCAACATCTACAATTAGACAAAATATATAAATACAAAGCTGAAGGAGCTTACATCCGATCACGCAGAAAGTGGCTTGAGGAAGGCGAACAAAGCTCTGCTTATTTTTTCCGTTTAGAAAGACAACAAGCTAAAACAGGTAATTTAGGGAAACTCATGATTGATGGAAAATTAAATGAAGATCAAAAAGTAATTGGACAATTTTGTTCTAAATTTTACACAGACTTGTATACATCTAAATTTTGCCACCGAGATGCAACTGATTTTTTTGACTCTCTTCAGAATGTACAGCAATTGAATATGGTTGATAAAGATTTTTGCGACGCTCCTATTACCATGAATGAGATTGTAGAAGCAATTAAATCATTAAAAAATGGAAAATCTCCTGGCACTGATGGACTCACTTCAGAGTTTTATAAACTTTTTAGTAAAAAAATAGCATCCTTTTTATTAGAGGTTTTTAGAGAAAGCATAGAGAAAAAATGTCTTCCTCCCACCCTATGTCAAGGAATAATCACCCTAATTCCAAAGCCAAATAAAGATCCCCTTTTCATTGATAATTGGCGCCCAATCTCTTTACTAAATAATGATTATAAAATAATAGCTTTAGTTATGGCCAAAAGACTCAAATGTGTCCTAAATTCCATTATTGATGAAACTCAGTCAGGATTTTTACCAAATAGACATATATCAAACAACATACGCTTAATATTAGATCTATTGGACTATTCATATTTGCTCCCAAAAGAAAGTTTTATATTATTTTTAGATTATTATAAAGCATTTGATACATTAGAACATCAGTTTTTGTTTCAAGCTCTAAATAAAATTGGCTTCGGGGACTCCTTCTGTAATATGGTTAAAATGCTGTATGTGAATAGTAGTAGTTCCATTAAGTTGAGTAACGGTACCTCTCCTAGATTTTCCTTAAATCGTGGAGTGAGACAGGGATGTCCAGTATCTCCCTATCTTTTTTTAATTGCAACACAATTTCTTAGTTCGCACATTAAAACAAGCCAGCTAAAAGGCATCAGAATTGGCAATACAGAGATAATTATTAATCAGTTAGCAGATGATACTGCCTTATTCTTGGAGGACTCTCTGCAAATACCAGCAGCCTTACGCACTCTTCATCTCTTTTCTAAAGCCTCGGGCCTACATCTAAATCTTAATAAATGTGAATTACTTCCGATAAAAAACAGTATGTTCTCTTCAATTGATGGTATTGCAGTTAAACACTGTGTTACATATTTAGGTATAAAAATAACCAAAGATAACTCTAGGTGCTCTGCTAATTTAGACCCAATTGTTTCAAAAACAACGAAACGCCTAAACTGCTGGCTGCAGAGAGACCTTTCTTTGAAAGGCAGAGGTTTGCTTGTTAAAGCAGAGGGTCTGTCTCGCCTGACTTATGCCGCTCAGTCACTGTACATTGATAAGCACACCTGTAAAATTATTGATGGAGTTTTAGTTAAATTTTTATGGAAAAACAAATCCCATTATTTAAAAAAATCAGTGATACTTAATTCTCAAAAAAAGGGTGGCCTGAATTTCATTGATTTTAGTTTACTAAATAACACAATTAAAATAAATTGGCTTAATCGATTCCTTAAAAACCCTAACTCTATTTGGAATATTTTCCCTCAGCTTGCCTTCTCGCAACTTGGGGGTGCAAAGTTTGCTTTAATGTGTAATTATGATGTGTATAAACTCCCTGTCAAGCTATCTAACTTTCACCAACAAGTTCTTTTAGCATGGACTCTCATTTACAAACATAATTTTTCTCCTCATCGGTGTTACATATGGAACAATAGGAATATTTTATTTAAGAATAAGTCTTTGTTCTATAATCACTGGTTCTGTAATGGAATATTTCATGTTAGACAACTCTTTAATAATGAAGGTCTGCTTTTTAGGTATGCAGAGTTTCTTTCAGAATATAATATACCTGTAACTCCCAAAGAGTTTGCCACAGTTATGGATGCTATTCCATCTGGGATACTCATGCTTTTCAAAAATAACATTGTCTCTTTGAGTTCATTATCTTTGCCTGAACCTGTCAATACTCCTATTGGTGAGATATGTTTCACTGAAAAAAAAGGAAGAAATTATAAAGTAAGAGTTCTATTCCTTGAGAACACTATTTCTGTCCCTCCTGCAATGTCATATTGGAATGGACTTTTTGATAACTTAAATTGGCAAAAAATATGGTCCATGCAACATAGGTTTCTCCTCACAAATAAAATCAAAGAAATATCCTTTAAATTAACTCATAATATTTACCCAGTTAAAAAT